CAAACCACTTGCATGAAGTCTACTCTTTGAATTTCATTTAAAAGCTTGCACAAGGTATGATTGTCAATATAGTAATGTTTGTACAAAATGAGGAATTTTTCATGTATCACCAAATTATAAAATGAGAGTTAAATATAGCTCTTTCATGAAGATATGTATGTTTCCTCTTGCTATGTATTAACAGTTTGCTCATGCTGAACTTAATAGTTAATTAGTCCGATTTTCCATCCTGGCAGGGGATGGTTTTATCCAACCTTGCTCAGATATTTCATTAGATTTTCTAAGAGTTAAACTAAAGTGGAAAATAACTTTTCAGGAAATTTAATATCAACAACTTGACTGAATTCATAGCAATCCTGCGGGGAAATTCCCTGCAGGAGGGAAAAGGGATAATACAAATCTGAAAACTTCAGAAAAGTTTTGAGGATACAAACGCTCTTATATCCAAACCTCCCAAGAAACTTAACTTATAATGAAGGAAGTTTGGAATAAAAAATAGATTTCAGCTATCTCTTGACTAGATACAAAGTACAGGTGGAGACCACTGTTGTCTTCTTTACTTTGTCCATACTTTGAAACCTAGACACTGATGTTATCTGGACTATTTTAAGTTAATTATGATAAAAATAAATCAAAAATTACATTGTGGATAATTTTAGGTCACTGGAACATCTATGGATTCCACTCATGCAGAGATGACAATCTTCAAATTCAGGGTAGTAAAGCTTTCTTGCAGCATCCACTCTGATAAATTTTTCAGAAGTAAATATCCTTTTCCACTGAAGTATTTGGATAAGTTTAGGAGATGACAAAAAGGCTGTGCAAAAGATACATCTTTCAGAGCATGGTGTCAGACTGAGCATTTTCAGCATGCGCACAGGACAACCATGTGGAGACTGCCTGGGTTTCAAAGGTCTTCTAGAGAATTTATTTATAGTAACTCAGAAGTGACAAGGGGAAGGTGTTGCAATTTTTGAATTCCTGGGCACCAGTCTCCCTGAGAAAATATTTCTCTCAATTTCATGTCACATCTACCTAAACTATTTTCTGTGCTTTTCTTTTCTCAAGTAGAACAGCAATAAGTCTATATTCATTCAAAAGCTTCCTTTTAGATTACCTTCTCAAAAGGTATTTAAATCCTGACTTATTTTTCAAACACTGTTGTTCTTCATGGCACTTACAGAACAAAACCCAAAAGTGAGGCAAAGAAAAGGAATACTATGTACAAGATAAACACAAAAATACTATGTACAAGATAAACATAGAAGATACAGAATGGAAATATGCTCCAAAAATTATTTTCAGCTTAGCCTCGGAGGCTAAACATTCTGGTTCAAATGAAATTATCTCATCCTTACTGAGGGACATTGGCAATAGCTTTGTGAAAGAGCCCTTGAAAAAGTGCATTTTCTGTGCCATTGTCAGGCTCATTTTTTAAAACAGCAACTAATGCAATTGCAGTTAAAAAAATCACAGAGACCTATTGTTTCATGTAATAGCCATAAGCACTTAATTCTTGTTCAGTACCTTGTAGAAACATGCAAACATGGCATGTAGACAAAATAACTTTAGGACAAGAAAGTGCTGCCATTTATACACTGTGAATCATTTCCAAATATTTTTTTTTTTCAATAGCAGCTGCAGCTTCTTTAAATAACAACCCATTTAAACACTTGCTTTTGTGGAAAGAGCAGCAATGAACAAATTCTATCCCCTCCTGAAAAGGCCCTCTTTCTAAAGTCTTTTTTTGTTAGTTTAAGTGGGATTTAAATTATCAACTTCCAAATTGGAAAGAATTGTTTTGTTGTTTAAGGACACTAGAGACACAGAATAGGACTACAATGGCAGAGTCAGATTTCCAGATAGGTTCTGTTACAAATGTGCTTGGCAGAAGTTTGTCTAGTGTAAGTGGGTGCAACAATGGGGCTTACTTTTTTTTTTTTTTTTTTTAAAGGTACCAAAGACTTACAACTCCTAATGAAAACCTGGAAATATTACCACAGGGAATTTATTAGCACCTAGGAGTTCATTAGTTCAATCACCTACATTTCATCCCACACAGGCAAGCCACAAAGAAATGGATCTGTAAGAGGCAAGAGAGGATACAGGCAAAATTTAGGAATTACATCCAAAATTGAACCAGACCTACATCACATTAGATGCATACAATATTCAATAGGGGAGAGGCTTCTGATCTCCATTCTTCTCCATTCAAACAGTGTAAACATTTTACATTAAGAAGCCATTTAAATATAGAACAAAATAAAAACCTAAAAACACTCCTGTGAGCAGGAAAAGTTACAGTCCTCTACACCCCTTGTTTAAACTAGGATACTACATCAAATACTTTTCTTTAAAGAAAGATCTGAGTACTACCAGGAACTTTTGTTGTTGTGGGAGGTTTACCTGTAAAAGGAAAGAAAACGAAAGCTTTTAGTAGAAACACATCACACCTTAAGGGAGAGTGACAGGCCAAACAAAACTGCAATATTTGTTTCTCCTTTTGTGTTTTCAAGTACATTCCCTCACAACAAAGTATTTAATTGTGCTAGGCAAGGCATTATTTAATTGAATCCATTCTGCTCTTCTGTCACCTTCGGCCCAATTATGCAAACCAGTGCATCAGCCCATGCCCACTAGGATCAATGGACCATTCCCTCAGAGAGCCTCCTCCCACAAGACACTGTGCACCCTCTTTCTAAAAGGCAGACATTTAGAGCCAAAATGCAGCCACCCTGAGCACGACTGCAGCCAGCTGCCCAAGCAGGCCTCTCCAGACTGCTCCATCCCTCACGCTCCAGGTGAGGCAGCTGCACAAACCCCTGCCGTGGGACACGAAGGCACCACAGGGCTGCGGCTGACTCTGTGCCTCCAGGCACGCTGTCCGAGACAGAGCAAGAGATGAGCACCCAGAGCCCCTGGCAGGAGCGGAGCCTGGCACTGCCCTGGGAACGTGGGAGGAACAAGCCCGGCTACGACGGACTGACGGCTGCACCTCACCTGGCAGTTGAGAACGTCGCTTGTGCATTAGTATTTTGGCTTTGGAGCCAGTGAGTGTACATGCCTGTGTATGCTGTGTATACAGACACACACAGAGGCATCAGACACATCCACACACACCAAAAAAAAAAGAAAGAAAAAGGACTCTCAAGTGAGAAAAACGCAAACAAGACACTGCCTGATATGAATAAACCACACTAGAGTACATTTCTGGGTCATGATGCTCTGCTCCTTGGCACATGTGTCTCTCCAGATCAGTGTCATGGTTCCTACACCTGTCAGCCTCTATCTTCCAAATCTGGAAAAGAAATAACCTGAGCAGGTCTGCAAAATTTCACAAGACACTGGAAACAGAATCAATTGACTCATTGCCTTTCTGCATCTCAGAAATTGTATTTTTCTTCATTTGAGTGCTTTCTTCAAGGTTTTTTTGAAACCACTACACAGAAATACAGTAATTAAATGAGCATACTGAACTGGCAAAATTAGGGCTCTTCATAGCAGCAATCCATTTTTGTTCCAAGCAATAAAAAGAAATAGCTATATCCGTGAAACATGTAATGATCAAATCCTGTTTTTATTTGCAGATACAAGGAAACTTTACAGTGTAGTCCTCAAAGGCTGAGAAACATTGCATCAGATCCCTAGAGTAACAACAATCCCATTCCTTAAAAGTCAAGAAGCTTGTGAATTTTTATAGATAATATCAATCTTGACTCATTCCCTAGAAAAATTCATGATGCCCAATTATATATGAAACTTGCAAAATAGGAGCTACACTGGGTATAGTACAGCTTAAGAATCGAGCTCTGAAATTATTTTGAGGATAAAAACATGAGAGGCTAGACATAGCTGTAATTCAGAAGATTCGATAGAAGTCATGCTTTAATTATGTCCATTCGCCATTTCAAAAGAAAAACATGCATATGCAGCTTTTTAAAATTAAAACCATATTAAAGCATGAAGAAAGCCCACTTGAAGTAATTAGAGGACTTGGACTAAGTCCTCTAAGTCCAGCAGTAAGAAGTTGCAGGTTAGTATGAGTCACTGCCATCATTCAATTGCCTCAGATGCAAAACAGAAATAGAGCAGATGGAGGGAACCAAAACAGACCAAGGAAGAAGCAGAGCGTGACAATAATAAATATAACCCAGAGGTAATTCATTAGAACTCATTATTTGGTATAAATTGCCTTGTGCTGCCTCTCCCAATATAGGAACTGTTTTCCTTTCTCGACATTTATCCACAGTTTTATAAAGGCTTTGGTTTTCTCAGGGAGTGCCTAACTTAACCACTTAATCATCTCTCTATTCTGCAAGAAAGAGACAAAAAGTTAAGACAGCATTCATTAGTTGTAATTTTCTTACTGGAAACTTTAATTTCCTCTGCAAGTCAGAAAGTTCACAGGATAATAGAAAAGGAAGACTAGAAGAGGAAACTGCTATAATTGAGATACATATTTAGACTGCAAATGGAGTCTCTTTCATACAGAACTCTTTCGCTGCCAAATTCCAATCAAAGCAAGGAACAGTCCCCAGAATCATCAGCATCTGCAAGATTTTAAAATTCAATCATCATAATTTCAGTTCAAATTAATCTATTTAAAAGAAAAAATATCTTCAGTTCTATGCCATTAAACTGATGTCCATGGAAAAAAAATAGCTCCAGTATTAATGCTTTTTCAGAGTTTTCAATCTGTTGTGTTACATGAAATTTCTAAGTCTCAAAATAACCTGTCCTAAAAGGACACAGATCAGCCCAGCAATACAAACTTCAAGTCACCTCAATGGATTCACGATTCCGAAATGGAATTTTATATGAAGGATTACAAATACAGACCCTCAGACAGAAGCCTTCCAGAATGTACTGTGCTTCAGGTGAAAAGGAAATTGCATTTCACACTGATCTATTCTGGTTCTAGTTCCTTCAAGGGACATATACAGCCCATGCTGTTTCTTTCCATACTTACGCTCAGTTCCCAAGTTTAACGACGGACTTACGCAGTTTTGCCCTCACTATCCTGTTTGGTGGCATTGGCTCCCTTTTTACCCAGCAACGAAGCCACTTTCTCAGGATCGCCGTTCTCCACTGCCTGCAGCAGCCGGTCATCATTCTTATTCCACTCATTGGTCTGGAGGAAAAGAAAAAGAAGAAATAAATATTAGTACCAGCACAAAGCCCAGGCTCCCTTGAGCGATCCCCCACACAAAAAAGCTAACGTCCACCACAGAAAGCTAAAACAAAAATGCAACCCAGAGATATGGCACTGGCTCCGTATCTCCGTAACTCTCAAGGACTAAGCAATCGGCAGGAGGGGAGATCTAGTTTGGAAACTGATTCTGTGGAACAGTAGTGCAGAAATAAACCTACTTGTTCTTACTGTGATTAAACAAGTTCTCCTTCATTTGTCTAGTCCTGATTTCTATTGTGCAGCTGCACCAGCTCCATGAGACCATCGTATACAACATGTGCACAGGCACTGAGCTGTCTCAATTCCCACCCCACCAACACAGGCTGGCCAAAACTTTCCATGTACAAGGCTTTCCCCAACCGACACTTCATAAGAGACTAACATAAGTTTTTTTATAAACCTCTTCCCCCCCTGCCATATTTGTGACAAACAAATCAACCCACCAATAGACTGCAAATCCCGAGCACTGCTAAAAGCAAAAGATGACCACCCTATGTTCAAGCTTTTCCCAACATAATCCACTAAATTGTTTTGCTCATCCTTGTCGGTTGAATGAATAAAAGGACACTTTTGTCTAATATGCCGATTTCCCCCTTCCCTTCAGTACTTTCAGCCTATTCCACCTGCCAAACCTCCAAGTTACAGAATCACAGAATGCTTAGGGTTGGAAGGGACTTCTAGAGATCATCTAGTCCAACACCCTGCTCCAGCGGGGACACCTAGAGCACGTGGCACAGGGTG